CCAGCGAGCGTTGACGTCGCCTTCCCAGCGCACTCGCGCGCTCGCTAATCCTCCCGCGCGCCCGCGAGCGTCGACGTCCCAGCGCCTCGCGCACTCACGCGCTCGCGCATTCCCCCGCTAGCTCGGGAGTGTAATATTTAGCTGCGTTTTAGTATGTGTTTTTCTTGGAGTATAAATACTTTTTGGCCTTTGGATTTTAGATCTATCTAGCTCATTATGAAATGTTTCCCTTTTTGTTTCTTAGCTTAAGTCTTTTATTTTCTCTCTAGAGTAAGGTGAATGCTCTTGACATTTTCCGGCGACTTTTTCCGGTGACTTCTCGTTTATGCAAGTTTTAATCTTTTTCTTCCGATTTCGATCAAGCATGCGTTAGGGATGTGAGTACTTACTTTTAAGTCTTGTGATCTCGATTTTCGTACTTACTTGGTATCTCGTGCGTAGAAGTAATTAAAGCTTGCTCGGTTGTCGGATTTTTAGTAGCTATTTTAGTTGTTTTAATTTTCTTTACTTTTGTGAGCTCGTTTATGATGCTTGGAGTTGATTGATTGATTGATTGCTATTTGAAAAATCGTGACTTTATCTTGAGCTCGGTTATTTCGTGGTAGGATTTCGATTTTAGCTATCAAGCATGTTAAATGGAGTTCGTTTCTCTTACTTTCGCTTTTGTTGCTCTTGATTTTGCTCACCGGATTAGCTGCTAGAATCCAATAGTTCGTTCACTTGCTCGTTGCTCGTTTACTTGCTTTCACTAGTCGTAATTAGTGTTAATCAACCTCAACCCAAATTGATTAGTATGTTTAGGACTTTATTTTCCAGTTTTGTGATTTGAGCGATTGAATAGTGAGTAAAGCTCCGAATAGCCTTCCCTCGAGATCGACCCGAGTCGAGTAGCTCGGTTACCCCTTGCCCATCAAATCTATACTAAACAGAGCTTTGCCGCCCTTGTGGTCCTACCCGGCTCGATTCCAGGTTAGTCGGTTCCCATGTGGATCCAGAAACCGGAAGGTCCCTGTACCAAAAAAATCTAACTTCAGAACAAAAATAATATAAAAATAATATCACGAAGCTTAGATTTTCGTCATGTCAGCATTCGAAGCGTGAGAATCTGTCACCTAGACTCAACACGTTTGGAAGGATTTGGTTATTTGTCCTTTTGTGCTGGATTGGTTGAATACTTAAATTTCGATTCAATTGATTTTTTTTTTTTCCATTTTTCCTTAAATATGAAAACCTAGTTCACATGCTATTTCTG